AGGAAAAGTGCCATAGGTACGGAAAACTTTCATATATTTTTCGAGATGGCGTAGCGCAAGCCTAACCTACCTATTAATTAGCGCCGTCCTTTTTTTTTAAATTAACAGGTCCAAGTCCACATTTAGCCTTCTGCGTGTATCACAAGTAGAATTCGTTTTCTTCAATTCTCGTCGTCGTCGAAACAAGCGGACTAAAACTTACTATCGTTATTTAAATAAAGACCCTTTGTATGCTTTTTATCCATATTTCACATTTTATGTACAACTTGGATGAATAACTTTAAAATCAGACAATTCTGAGTTTCTGCACAATGTCGCTGTGTTTTAATTAACACATACCGTATGCATGTCTGTTAAGAACAAGCACTAAAAAACAAAGAAAAAAAACAACAAAGTTTTTACAAAATAATTACTAATAAAAAGAAAAAAAAACACAATATATTCATATAAAAGATTTACAAAACGAATAAAAGTAAAAATATGAAAAATTTTACAATTTGTTGACATTTTGACGTTTAATAATTTCATATACATCTATGAACATTTGCACTTACGAACAATGTACATAACAAATGTAAATACAAAAGCAAATAAGAATTTAATTCATTTAAAATGCACACACTCTCACCTACACACCGGGGCAAAAACACTGATATGTTTGCTTATGTGCTTTATATGAAAGTAAATGAAAGATAAAGGCATCATCGGACCATAAATGAATTGTGATTGTTTGTGGATTTTTACTTTCTTTTTTCCTTTATGCTTTTGTTTTGTTAGTCATACTTTTGTTAACTTTTGTGTCTTATGTCAGCATTTTTACTGGTGCTCTTCTTCTCATTCAATATTCATTCATTCAAAATTGAAGGTTAAACTGGACTTTTTATCCGATACGTACCGTTTGCTCTCATCACAACTTCTAGACAAAAGCTCATATTCTGAATTTACGTAAGCATTTTAATTTATTTTTAGGCATGTTCTGTCCGTATGTCCGCAAGTTCTTAAATCCTTTAACGCTCAAGTTTACCAGTTTAGGCATATTCTCTCAGTATATTCTCTCGTATGTTGTTAAAACTCCTAATGCTCAAGTTAAATGGCAAATTTAACGGACTTGAACTCTCCCCGCCAGTACTTATACGATATTTAAACATATGAAGAATATTTCGCAAAGTCCTCAAGATTTCAAAGTGTTTTTATTAAAATTTCAGAGCCCTCATCATAGTCTACAACAATCAATGAATATTGAATTCACAAACGTGATATTTTTCCCGGACCTGTATGAGAGAACGCATTTAAAGAGAACTCACTACGGACACCTAGCATTTTCGGTTTCATTTCCAACTTTTATTCTCACAAAACATATCGTTTCCTTCGTTTGAAAATAAAAATTAGATAAATTTGATTTAACTGTGAAATATTTTCTATCGAACATAGAGCTAGCAGCGTTGAAGACTCCTAAACGAAATTTTTTCCATATGTCGTTAATTTTTCCCTCGCAGTTATTTTCCGTGCCGCTATATCTTCTAATACACTTTTTTTTTCTTTTTTCTGAGCTGAAAAATTTCTTGGTCTCCTTGCTTTAATTCATAAATCGGAAACCCCTCATAATCTAATTGAACAAGTTCAATATAGAATAATATTTCTACAGGGGGCTCCACATTAACGTTGATAGAAACAACTACAAAGCATGCTCCAAAATAATTCTGCTTAGATAAAAAGAAGTCACACAACAGATAACGATGGAAAAGCATTTCCTCCTACACAGGCAGAAAACTTTGCTATTATTAGCATTATTTTGTTCGTCATGTTTCTGCTCTAATATAAGCGATAGTGCTATGTTCTTTTTATAAATAATTAAGTAATCAATCAAGGGATCTCTTCTATTCGTGTAATACAGTGACAGTCAGAAAGAAGTAAGGAGAGAGAAAGAGATAGGAAAGATGCTGCGGGCTATCGCTACAACTACAACCAAAGCACACTCTGCTGGATTGAAATTTGGACCCGCTAACATAGACTTCGTTAGCGACAGTGTGTTGACGACGCTAGAGAAATCACTTTCTGGAATAAAATATTCGGAATTCCAAGAGAATTCGAACTTTGAACGACAAATAGAAAAAAAAATTGAAAAGATCGTGTCCGCGTAGAGTTATAATGCAAACGGTTACCCCGTAAGAACATTGGTTGGAAGCACACGCTTGTAAAAAGACAACTTATTACCAAACTTTAGCTTATTTAGAGTTTTGCTTCCCTATGTTGTTCAGGCCGTATGCCGGAAAAGCTTCAATTGTTGCAATTGGTCCAAAACTTAACCTAAGAACTCGTTACAAGGTGGCAAGTTTTTCAGAAGAGCATGGAATCTGTGCATATACGACAATGCGCCAATACTCTGATGATGTTGCTTTCACTCCTACACTTTGGTGCTTATTAGACCCTTAGAATAGTCATGATTAGGGTTGCAATTCGCTCAGATCCGTTTGTCTGTCCGTCTTAGTCGAGCTTTCACTATAACATGGGCTGAGATGAGAAGACCAAATTCTCAGCGAATATTCCTAGTTAACGGTCGTCAACTGTGGGCGTGTCCAGCCCTGCGTGTACGTCTGTTAGGTAATTGAAAGAAGATAGCAAAAGGATAAAAATCGCATGGTATACGTATCGATTATTTACACGAATCCTATTGCAGATGGTCGAAGATGGTCAAAGCGAGGGATTGTCGAAGTATTTTAAATTTTTGCCGAAAACTAATTCCGCAAAAGCGAAAGCAAAAAGTGTTTCAATTCGTATACAGCTCGATTTCTTTTTCTGTTTTATTATTATTGTTATTATTTCTCTTCTTTTTTACTTCTTTTTTTGTCATTGCCGAAATATAACCAGAACAACCGATAGCAATAAAAGAAGACATTAAAGCATGCAAACAAGCACATCTATCTAAACGTAACGATATGAAAAACGTAATAAAGTATGCTGCCTTCATATGCGTATACTGTGTGTTTGTGTACAGCAAAACATTTAAAATTGATTGTTAAGCATCTTGCCTGAAACCTTCGCATGCCAATACATGCATCGACATATATACGTTATGTATAAACGTATGTGTACTCACTTCATAATGTTGAAAAGCTTGCATTTTGTCAGAATACAAGCTCAACAGAATGTCATCTCATGTGTGTGCGCGTGTGTGTGTATGTGTGTGTGCCTTTTAATGTTTGTATCGATACTATATGTAATAAAATTTTTACCAATTTTTGTTTTTTTATTTTTTTTATTTCCTATTGTAAAAATTTCAGTCTTCCTCTTCACTAGCATTCACTTATTCTCTCGTTCTGCAGATATTAGAAAGTCTCTTTGCCCGCCTTGGCCAATATTTTCTATTTAAATGGGATATAAAATTTAATTTAACTCTACAAAAAGCCAATTTAATGCATATGCATGCATGCAAGATTGTCATCTTTCTTTTGGGACACACATGCATGCATTCACACACACACACACACATACACGGGCTTAGAGTATATGCATGGATTTGCTATGAAAAGAAATATGCTTACGTTCACAACATGCTTGCAACTGTCAGCTAACTCTCATCACTACCAATATCGTCAATAATATCATTATGCTGATGTCCATGAGTGATGTACATGTTATGCAAGTTATAAATATATTTATATATATATATGACACATGCATAAACATATAAGGAAATCAATTTTTCAATATTCTTTTATATGAATGCCAAGCTTAACAAAGATTGCTAGAAGAAAAGCTAAAGGGAAATTCTGCAAAGAATTGCAAGATTATCATACAATTACATATTTATGTGTATACGTATATATCGATATATGTATATAGGTACACATGCATTACACATGATGCACTCTTCTGAGAGATGAGAAGTTATAAAGTTGACATTAACAATTATTTCAGTTCATTCATTATATGTTTTTATAAGCAGAAGACTAGGAAATTATCAGATTTATGCTCAAATATGACATCAGTTTGCTGTAGAAGTTATTATGTCAACTAAAAGTTTGAAAACTGATGAAATTAGTAATTAGTACAAGAAAATAATTTTATCTGATAACAATCTGTCGAAAGGAGAAGATGCAATTCGTTCAGGTAATACCCATTACATTTTATACCCTAGGGGATAAGGTTCTCAACACAAAATGGAAAAGGAAATGAGACAAAGAAATACACAGTCAGTCCTCCAATATTTGCCCGTTTGACTTAAAAAGTAATGTATTTATGTACGCTAAGCAGGCTTTGTTTAGAGTGATTGCAGCAAACGATGCTAAATACAGTAAATGATGCGTTGCAGTGATCGTATAAAAACCGGTTTTTGTTTTATTTTATCATAAGTAGGATATTCGTGGTGTAGTACGTGGTCGCTTACGTAATTCTAATAATTTGCCATGACTAAGGGATTCATAGAGGTTTGCTTTGCAATATAAAGTCGACCATTATCAACCTGAAATATTACTTCGCTTTTTTTCAGCGATCGCTGCAAATGTAAAAAGACTAAGCAAGCGAGAGAGTGAGAAGGAAAGAGAGAGGTTGACAGGGGGAGGGAGAGATAGAGAGAGAGTACTACAAGACTACTTTCTTTGAACACGGAGACAGTTCAGATAGTCCGGACAGTGGCTAAATATACAAAGAAGCAAATATTTATTAATAATATTTTGTTTAATTATTCATTAATTCAAAATCGAACTTTACATGGGAAATCACCATGTTTGCTATATTATTTGTAAGCACCAACTAAATGCGTTGACGACGCTTTTAATAATATAACTGCGGTCAACAAGAGAATTTGTACAGTGACATTTTCGGTGAATGAACAAAGAGAGCAAAGTCCGAAAAACGCGTATGGAATTTCTTCTTCCTTCTCCCTCTAACCATCGTGAAAAATTCACAGTTCCCCTCTGTCTTGAAATAACTACCTTACCATTGCTTTAAAAGCACTCCAACCATTTACCATCTTTTCTACAGATATTTTAATATTTATTATTAATTGGGCCGGAAATCCGGCAGTACTGCAATACCGGACCAACCCGCGACAGAAGTGGAGCAAGCCCCTAACATTCCGTCTATTCACAAAAATAAGTTTAACATTTGTTTGTCCTCCGATGGAGGAGCTATCAGATGTTAAGCTGATAAGAACAGATACTACACTTTGATCTTAGCCATAAGGCCGAGAAGCGATAAATTGCAAAGTTTTTCAATGTCTACTTAAACTTATAAAATCATAAACCATTTGAGAATTATAGCCATTTTTAATACAATCTCATCAACTGTATAAAGAAAAACTAAAACCAGTCAGTCATACCAGTCGCAGTTCGCTTGAACGCAAATCGAACATGTATGAATTAATAATAACTGCAAATGTGTGTATAAACGAAGAGTAATTAGCTATAGTACCAAGCAATGAAAAGAAACATTGAGGTTGAAAGTTTCGATCGATTTTTAAATCACCTACAACCTTTACATAGGGAATAAGATTAATATGTTTGAATCGAACAGAAATATTAGTCGACGTGTAATGATCATTATCAGATGATCATTAAATGGTATATTGAATACGAACGGCATTTGCGATAAGAAAGTTCGTTGCAGTTTATTTCTACGAGAAAAATACATCATACGTTGTATGTGTAGATTTTGTTCGTAATGTTTGCGGCTGTTAAGTAGAGAAAAAATTTAATCTATTCGAATATATACTTTGTATGTTGTTCGGTGCTCATTTCGATTGTTACATATATGGAATGACAAACCGGATACCTTCCGAAAATAGTAAAGCAACTGTTTGCATTACGAACCTTAGATAAATGCGATATTGAAGATAATTAAATAGTAATCTGTACTAGTAGTAAACACATTCGTTCGTTTTCGCAGATGAATGCTTGTAAGCGATGTAGTGAGAATTGGTTCTACTGAGAATGAAAATCTTTGTCGTAGTTCATGTCATTGATCTTTTTGCCATAGTCATTATGTTCAAAAGCTTTTATTTTATTTGTAAAGTTTTTTTCGTAAGGTGACACAAGTGCGTTAACATCTGAGAGAAATTTCCTATTACTCTGTTTGTTAACTCACAAATTAGAAACATTGTGTTATTACGTTGCAAATTGTTTTCGATGAACTTTCGTTTGCCTTGCTATCCCCATATAAAGTTCGATTCGAACCATCTGCGGATCCGCTTGACTAATTTACATAACATTTATGAAATGGTTATTTTATTTTTGTTGTTATTATTGTGCTTTAATTTTTTCTTACTGACTGGCAGCTGGTTAAGAAAAACAATACAAAGTGTGAGAGGTACAGTGGAGCATCAAGTACCCTACGTTTTCATCGGTATCAAATGTCGGTCCGTTTGTGTGTGTGTGTATGTGTAATGTCTGTTATAAACATTCTTCTGAGCGCAAAAATTTCAAAATTGGCACAAATATTGGAAGTTCTTGTACGCACCTTGGTGTTGAATACGGACCTAATCGGTCGTAGGAGATGCCTACAGTACAGTGCGTAAACTGAGGACAAGTCTGCTATCCACAAGGAATAAAAAATTGATTTTTTACCCATTACGCATAAACTACGGCAGATAATTATATAAAAGCTTGAACTTATATTCTATGGATGGTATTCTGTCAAGACCACGTCTACGCCCACTACAGTGCATCATGATTTCATGTTTTTCCAAAATATTTATAACGCACTAGCTAGATTTAGAAACTCCATAAAATATGTAAACTCTTGGCCAGTTGCACGTAAGCATATCCATCTGTTCGTGTGCCCAACTGTGTAATATCTGTGCTAAACATTCCTCTGTTAGCGAAAATGAATATATCGCCTAGAAATTTCCGAAAGAATTTAAAAATGATTCAGAATACCTTTGCTTTCTGTATTTTCTGTTCGATGCTCGTAAAGTCCCCTGTTTATTAGTCTTTCTTGCGCTAACTTTCGAACATGACTGAATATAATTTTTTTATTTGTTTGGTTTCAGTTTACTATTAAGCTTTTTTTATGATTAATACATTTAGAAACATATACATATGATACTTTGAAGCTTGATGTAGAGGTAGCAGTATTGCACATATCATCAGCTTGTCAACTTGCCATAATATCCCCCATTATCTACTGAAAGCGTTCTTTTCATTAGGCTATACTCAACCCTAAGACAATATTTGTAAGATTTTCTGTTAACTTATTATAATTACATCCTACACCAATTGTGTGGTCTAGCAACAGCCAGAGCGACTTTAAGTAGACCCTCTGTTTTGATTGCATCAACAGTGCTTTAAGCTCATCTTTTTATCTACCTGTCTAATATCTGTTCATATTGACTCTTATGTTCAATTTATAGATTGCGGTTTACAATAAATATTTTGATGAGATTTGCTACACTGATTTGTTTTAACCAAAAAGACCCATGTGTGTTAATACTTAAATAATAGATCGAGGCTGCGAAACTCATTGCGTCATGAAAGGTATAAAATATTCAAAAGTCCGTCGTCGCTGTCAACAACCGTTTTTTGTTTATTTTGTTATTTTTAAATGTTTTCCAAAAATTCATCCATGCTCGATAATCTCCTTACTTAACGCAAGTGAAATAATATCAATTAACTAACATTTAAGTTGAATGGCCTTTAGAGAAGGCAAAAATAATTATCAAATTACCTGGAACATAATTATCTATGCCCGCTATACGTGCTCGCTTGAATAACAACCCTTCGCCATCATAATACTATACATTCAGTATTTGAGACTACTTTGCCTGTTTTCTGAAACGGACAAACAAAACAAAAAGTTTAAAATTTACGCTTTAATAGGTTTTAATTTAGTAAACGTGTTTATTTACCGAATATATATGTATATGCGATCCACAGTACTTCTCGCATAAATAATTCACAATGTAACCCTCAATTTGCTTTAGCTAAGAAGAAGACGCAGTTAAGAGAAAAAGCATATAAAGAACAACATAACCTGAGCTAATAGCGTAAAGTTTTGTAGAAATTGAAGCTATAAACAAGGATGGATTCATTTTTTTCTTCGACATTAAATAACATCTGCAAGAAATCATTTTTTATGTTATTATTATGCGGTAATTTTTAAGAGCCAGATCTACCTTGAAAGTGTTGGGCTTAACCAAGGTTTAATTTGAGTTTTAATATTAAAAAAATATACTTTGGGTTTAAGTACGTACAGGCGAATTACGATTTTTGGGATAGTATAATTTTTGTTTACAGTTCTTAAGAGATCTTTTTATAAATTATTTACAGCAACATATATTTAGAACGCTTCATTTCTTGTTTTGGTCTCGTCCGTTCGAATATTTGCAATTGAAGCCTTTAGAATAGATAGTCGCCCTTATTGACTCACATTCGACTGACTTTACCTTCCGCAAATATTCTGCTTATACCCCCTTTTACATGCCATTTACCATTACCTAAACTCGTCGTGACACTTTTAATTCGTTAACCGTTTTCTCGTTTTTCCGCTAAATTTCTTTCAATTGTTATAAATGCGTCATGAATGTCTACTCGGTTATCTCTTTTCTTTAGAATTTGTTTTCCTAGAGAAAGGACTAAATCATCATCATTTTCGTAGCAATTATTTGAAAAACATTACTTAAGAGTGAAAAGCTATCAAACCATTTGCTGAGTTATAGATGTAAATGCATACAAATCCTTTCAGAATTTTAGACGACTCGACTATTGATTTTTGAACTGAAGGCACGTCTGAATATTACTTGTCGAAAAATGCGATTGCTACATGTCAATGCAAAGAAATTATTATTTAGTTCTCTTATTAAAAAATAGGTAAACAGGGCGTGGTTTAACGAATTGATGACGTCACACAAATTTTTATAAAATCCAATTCTTGTACAATAAGTTATCTTCAACTAGAAATGATAAGAGAGTAACAAGACTAAAGATATAGTTAAAGTTTAACTAAAGATTTAGTCAGTGATGGATAACAAATAAAAGAGTTATTTAGGCAAGGACTCTTTGAAAAACCTTCTGCAAACATTCAAGGATTCGAGAAAAGTTTGTTTTAGTGCTAAAACTAAGGCATGTTTATTAAAAGCATTCCTCTATATTCAATGCGCTCAGTGCGCAACCTATTAGCTCTCCATTAAAATATGTTAGATCCCTAATAAATCATCTTCTTAGTTTATATTGTAAAGTGGTGAGCAATCCGCACTGTAACCTAAAAAAATCGCGTCACGTTCTTATGTTCGGGACACCAAGCGTTGTTCGACATTCGCCAAGCATCTGGTATCTAATAGCCCGGATGGCCGAGCATTTGCACAAGACACGCTGTAATGTTTTCTTCACCTTCTCGCAACATTTGCATGAATCGGTATCTGATATATCAAAATATCTTTTCCGTTAATCGTGTAAAAAAGTGCGAAGAACGGGAAGGAAAAGCCATTTGTAAACTTCCCGCTGAAATACGTTAGGTTGCCAACTGAAGATTAATTTACTTTTTATTTAATCATATCTGAAGCTCAGTGTAACTAATATGTAGGCAGTGAAAATGAAATATATAATTAAGGAATGGCTCATTAAAATTCTTGTTGTCAATAACTGAGGGTTAACTTACTGTTTAGTTAAGTTTAGTCTTATTAATTTCTTACGACGACAAATAGCTACAAAATGAATAAGGTACAGTCTGTGGACTTAAAATTATACTAAAATACTTTGTTTAATTTCTTTCACTGAAGGCTAAATCATTTTTTGGTTAAGCTTATGAAAAAGTTATTACGGCCGATGTGCAGAGAAGTTAAGCGAATTGCTTAGCTATGCAAACTCAGTAATAGCGTATTCATAATAAACAATCTATGAACTTCTGACTAATGCAGTTTATGTGAACAACTGAAAGTCAACTCATTCAGCAAAAAATTATACTCAAATTTTCACTTAAGCTTTGTATGTTATTAAGTGAAGAGTACTGCAGATATAATTTTAAAGCTTATTCTAGTAACAAGTTATAATAACAAAGGGATTTGTTTAAGCAAATTATAATCCAACTAATTTGGAATTTATACCTAAAAGGAAAAGTTTGTTGCAAAGTCTCAACTCAAACTTCTCCTTTCTTTTCCCTTTTTGCTTACGCGTTTTCTAAAAAGTTTACTTTATTTGTTCTCGTCACTGGCGCTACTGTAGAGATTGTCCATCCACTTTAAACTAATGGGTTTCTCTGTTTTGA